TATCCATTAAAGGTACATGTAAAGATTCCCCTTGCACTTATGTGCTAGCCGTTCCTGACTCTAGGGGGCAGTGCTCATCTCTGTTTCAAAGCCAAGGAGCCAGCATTGTCCAAAGACGTCTCCATGGTCATATGGCCAGCATGACTAAATGCCGAAGGTGCAAGGAACGCTGTTACCTTCCCACCAAAGGTGGTTCCTGTTTTTCTACTTGTATTTTTACATGCTTTCGAACTGCTAGGTTGGCAAAAGCTGGAACAAGTAACTGGAGCTCACTCTGTTACACAGCACTAGGGATTTGAACCGCCAAACTGCTGACCTTTCTGATCGACAAGCTCAGTGTCTTAGCCACTGAGCCACCACGTCCCATTAAAGGTACAGATGGGTAATTTCTCCATATTCGTCCCTGGAATAACTACAAAATGTTCCAGGTTTTTCTGGAAAAGAAAATCATAAAGATTGGAGTCTCCTGAATCAATTGACAAAATTTACAGGGACAGAATTTCCCCATCACAAACTGCTTTTAACTTACTCTACCCCTAACATATACAGCTGTGCATCCCACAGCAGGCTGGCTTGGGAATTCTACCTGTCCACACATCTCAAAGTCACTAAGGCTGTGATCAGTGGTGGGATTCAATTTTTTTCTTCCGGTTCTGTGGGCGTGGCTTGGTGGGCATGGCAGGGGAAGGATAGTGTAAAATCCTTATTCCCTCCCTACTCCAGGGGAAGGATACTGCAAAATCTCCATTCCCTCCCGATCAGCTGGGACTCGGGAGGCAGAGAATGGATGAGGTGAGGCCAGCCAGAGGTGGTATTTACCGGTTCTCTGAACTACTCAAAGTTCTCCAGAACTGGTCAGAACCTGCTGAATTCCACCTCTGGTTGTTTCTTAAACCAACAACAACAACAAGTATCATTATGGTGTGAGGAGGACGCAACCTGTTTTGATGTGAAGGTTCTGGGGTGTGTCTGAGGCCACCATTCCTAGATGATATGACTTTGGAACAACACGTTTAAATTTTAACCAAAGAATGCAAGCTTCATGCCTCTGGAGGATTACCTTCTGCCACAGTTTCTTCCGAAGAGCGAGGCAAGAACAAGCAGCCACAAACCAACAGTTTCCCAGCCTTCCTTGACGTAAATCGTGGGAACTGATTCCGTGGACGGTCAAATGAGGATCTTCACAGAACTCCTGTGAGAATAAAGCATAGAAACAAAATGGTCTGGTTGAAATCTCCTAGATCTGTGATGGTAAGCCGATGGCACACATGCCACAGGGGGCACGCAAAGCCCTCTCTGCGGGCACGCAAGCCATTGCCCCAGCTCAGCTCCACTGTGCATGTGCCTATGCCTCCCGGCGGCCAGCTAATTTTCAGCTATCTGCCATGCATGCATGGGCGTGGGGTCCATGCAGGACATGCATGTGCATGCACAAGGGTGTGGGGAGGGACGCATGCATGCACAGGATGGGGGAGGCATGTGTGCATGCATGGGAGCAGGGGGAGCAGGGTGGTACTACATGTCCCCTGTGGCCCATTTTTGGTTCCAGAAGGCTGCAGGAAGGCCTACTAGGCCCAAAACGGGGCACGGGTGGGTGGGTGCAGTGGCCCGTTTTTGCTCCCAGGAGGCTCAGGGAGGCCTACTAGACTCAAAACAGGGGGTGTCACATGCCCATGCATAGGGGGCAGGGGGAGCATGGGGGGATCGCATGCACATGTGCAGCGGTGCAGGGCACAGGGGTGTTTATGCACATTGCATTATGGGTGCCGATGCGAGGGTGTGCGCTTTTGGCATGCAACAACAAAAAGGTTAGCCATTACTAGATTAATAACTAGTAGGCTCCTTCATTTGCCTGAGAGGGACACTTACAAGTTATTAACTTCTTTTTGGGTGAAGTTTTAAGAGAAAGAAATCGGGTATCCAGAGTGATTCAGAATAAATGTCAGGTGCAGGAGAGCAGGAGTCAGGGTAGTTCAAATGAATAGAGGTTTAATGCATCCCAACACTCTCTACAACGATCTGAACTACTAAGATTCAAAGCGAATTGGTGACAGATAAGAGTCAATGGAAGGTCAAGGGGTGCTTAGATCTGCTGTGGGTGCAAAGGGATTCAAGACTAATGACTTGCTTGACCCCCTCCCTTGGTCTCAGCCTGATCGTCTCCTATAATAATGGAGTTAACAGTCCATTATTTTAACACAACAGAATAAAGTAAAGAACCATAAAGCAGGATCTCCCAGAAATGAGTTTGGAGTAGGAAGGTGCAGCTGACTAGAGCAATCATCATCATCATCATCATCATCATCATCATCATCATCAACATCAACATCAACATCAACATCATCTTGTGGGATCCTGTGGGACTTTTGAATACACATGGATCGTCATTTCGAACACAACACGCCAGGTTGTAGAGGGCCAAAGCATACAGTTTCTTGATATTGCTGTACCAGGAGATGCCAGAGTCTAAGCAAATGAACTAGAAAAAATCACAAAATATCACGACCTGGCCATCAAAACCACATGGCTATGGATAAAACCTGTAACAGTGATACTCATTGTCATCAGGGCATTTGGTATCATGTCCAAGAGTTTTATAGGATACATCAAGAAACTGCAGCTTCCTGCAATAACACCAGCGGAACTACAAAAAACTGCGCTGCTCGGAACATCGTATATTTACTTAGTCGATACCTAGGACGCTGGCAGCAACCCATATCAATCGTTAGCACCCATCATTGATATTTGTGATTGAATATTGATTGAATGTTCAGTTTGGCTGAGTTTCATGTTTAATGAATAAAAGAAATAATAATAATACTTGATTGCCAGTGCACAACATATGTGCAATGAGACTGCTTGAGCTCCCTCAGTGCACACCCCACCCCCAACACAATACAACTCACAGTGAAGACAAAAAGTCCCTAACCCAATAAATCATATTAACAAACACCCAGTCTCATTACACCAATGTGAACATGTTACACATTGTGCAGGCCCTGCAAGGCCATCGTGCTATGGAGTTATTTCGCATTCAGGAGTCTGACAGCCGATGGATAAAAACTGTTCTTCAACCTGCTTGTGCGGCTCCCTATGCTTCTATATTTCCTTCCCAGTTGGTAGGAGGGTAAAGAAGTGCTGTCCATGGTGTGAGTCGTCCCTGAGGATTTTCCTCACTCTTCTAAGGCAGCGAGCCCTAGCGATCTCATCTAGTGGTGTCAGGGCGCATCCCACAATATTTTCTGCTGTCCTCACCACCCTCTGTAATGTTTTTCTATATACAGCTGTCAAATCAGCATGCCATACCATGATGCAACAAGTGAGGATGCTTTCTATTGTGGACCGATAAAAGGAGATCATCAGTTGTTGCCCCACCCTGTTTTTATGCAAGACCCTACAGTAGAAGTCTTCAAACTTGGCAACTTTAAGACTTGTGGACTTCAATTCCTAGAATTCTTCAGCCAGCATAGAATTCTGGGAGTTGAAGTCCACAAGTCTTAAAGTTGCCAAGTTTGAAGACCTCTGCTCTAAGGAAATGGAGTCTCTGTTGGGCTCTGTTGTTTATGGTTGTCACACATATGCTTTCTAATTCATGTGACCAGAGGAAAGAATTCTAGTTGTAGTAAACATACAATGAACAGTCTGCTCCACAAAGTGAGTGTGCCAACACTGTAGACATACTAGAGACCACAAATTCAAATGCTCACTTAGACTGGAGGCATGTTCAGTGATCCGAAGATTTGATTTGTGGTCAGCCAGCATGTAGCAGTGGGGATCTAAATTGTGGTGCCAATTCATATTTTAAAAAATATATACATAGGGTAAAGTCAAAAGCGTGACCAAAGTTGAAAGCTATTCTCTCTAGTATCTTTTTAAAGACATGATTTTGAGGATTTTTGATGAATGAAAGAAATATGGTTGTGTTCATTCTCCCAATGAGACCAAATCATCAGAATAGAATACATGTAAGTCCTCAATTTATGATCACAACTGAGCTCAGAAATTATGTTGCTAAATGAGACATTTGTTAAGTGAGTTTTGCCCCATTTTATGATCTTACTTGCCAAAGTTGTTAAATGAATCATGCAGTTGTTAAGATAGTAACACGGTTGTTAAGTGAATCTGGCTTCCCCATGGAGTCTGCTTGTCGTGAGGTCACAAAAGGTGATCACAGGACCCCAAGACACTGCAACCGTCCTAAATATGAATAAAGTGCCAAGTGTCCAAATTTTGATCACATGGCTATGAGCATGCTGCAATGGTCCTAAGTGTAAAAAACGGTCATAAGTCACTTTTTGAGTGCTGTTGTAACATTGAACAGTCATTAAATGAACTGTTGTAAATTGAGGACTACCTGTAGAGAATGCAGAAAGAGAGAGCTGGAAGGCACTTTTGAAGTCTTCGAGTCCAACCTTCTGCTCNGATAGATAGATAGATAGATAGATAGATAGATATAGTGATAGAGATAGAGATGATAGAGATAGAGAGAGATAGAGATAGAGATAGCGATATTAATCCTATATATATATATATATATATATATATATATAGGAATGATTTCCCTTTCATCACACATGTAAACTATTTTAGTAATTTGTCACCTTCTCTTAAGCTACAAAAAACAATGGCTCGGTTTTATTTGTATATCATGAACTCCCTGCATCTAGGGTGGATTAATTTTTTCTCCCCACCTGGCAACCCCTGTCTGTCTTAAGAACTTTAAAAAGTTCTGTCCATCAGGCTGTCTCCCCCCCCCCAACACACACACACACACACACACACACACACACGAATAAGGAAACATTCCTGTCAAAGTCATAACTGCTACCTGAAAGTTATGGGAATCTTCCTTTTTTAAAAGAGAGAGAGAGAGAGAGAGAGAGAGAGGAGAGAGAGGATTCCGTAGAAATAGGAACTGCACTGATCAGATGCTCACTCCTTTTTTTTTCCTACCAGAAGATTCGTACGAAAGAAGATTCTACGTAGACGACGAGGACGTTACCTTGACGTTGTACGACATTTGGGATCAGGTATGACTTTGTATCAGAGGTGGCATTCAGCCGGTTCAGAAACCATGGGTGGGCCCCGCTTACCTGCCCCAACTCTATGCCGTCCTATTCAGGAATATTTTTGAGGCTGGCCACATGCGCGAAAAGAGCATGTTCAAGCAAAGTGCATGTTCGGAAGGGCGGGCACATGTATGGAAGGGTTCGTGAGTGGGCGCGTAGCAGCAGAAGTGGGCTCCTACCTATTTGGTCCGGTTCGGCTGAATAGGTACTAACTCCAGCAGACCCGTGACCCATACCACTTTCTATGATTAGAGACGGCGTCTTGATTTTCTCTTCTGCGCATACGCAGAAGAAACTCTCTTCTAGTCCAACCAGTGGTGGGATTCAAATAATTTAGCAACCAGTTCTCTGCCCTAATGACCAGCTGTGTAGGCGGGGCTCGGTGGTCATGTGATCATGTGGGCGTGACCAAGTCAATGTCACTCAGCTCGATGGGCGCTTGGCCTTAGTTGTTACAATGGTAATAAAGCTTAACCGGAGAGGCAGTTTCTGTAAGCAGGGCAATCGAGATGAGGCTAGAAACAACACCAGAATGTTTCCTTCCCGCCTTCCTTACAGGATTAGCCCTGTAAAGTGGGGAAAAACAAAAGATTTCTTCCAACAACCGGTTATCTGAACTGCTTAGAAAGTTACCAACCGGTTCTCCCGAATAGGTGCGAACCGGCTGAATCCCACCACTGAGTCCAACCCTCTGCCCGAATAGGGAGAACAGGGAGACCTTAAACCACTTCGAACAAGTTGGCTGTCCAATCTTTTCTTTAAAAGGAGGGGGTGGAAGAGTACGAGGAGGAGGGGGAAGAGGAATAGCAGAATAACAGAGTTGGAAGGGCCCTTGGAGGTCTTCTAGTTCAACCCCCTGCTCGAGCAGTAAACCCTTAAACCATTCCAGGCACATGGGGTCCAACTTCTTCTTAAAAACTTCCAGTGTTGAGGGAATTCACAGCTTCTGGAGGCAACTTCTGTTCCACTGGTTAATTGTTCTCACTGTCAGGAATTTTCTTCTTAGTTCTAGCTTGCTTCTCTCCTTGATTCGTTTCCATCCGTTGCTTCTCGTTTGGAGTCAAGTCTTGAGCGAGTCAATTTTCTAGCCCTTAAGATGAGGTTGATTCTACGAAGGGTCCCG